TTTTTTTTTTTTTTTTTTTTTTTTTTTTTTTTTTTTTTTTTTTTTTTTTTTTTTTATTCAGCCCTGATAAGCCCACATCTGGAGCTCTATATCCAGTTCTGGGCTCAGCAGTACAAGAGGGACATTGATCTTCTGTACAAAGTCCAGCATAGAGATACAAACATGGTCAGGGGACTGGAGCATCTCTTCTATGAGGAGAGGCTGAGAGAGCTGGGCCTCTTCAGCCTGGAGAAGAGAAGATGGAGAGGAGGTCTTATCAATGTGTAGAAATACTTTAAGGGAGAGCGTCAAGAGGATGGGGCCGGACTATTTTCAGTGGTGGTCAGTGACAGGACAAGAGACAAAGACCACAAACTGAAGCCCAGGAAATTCCACCTGAATTTGAGGAAAAACTTATTGACTGTGAGGGTGAGAGAGCCTCACATTCTGAGGTGCCCAGAGTGCCTCTGGGCAGAACAGGCTGCCCAGAGAGGCTGGGGTGTCTTCTCTGGAGATCTTCAAAACCTGCCTGGATGTGACCCTGTGCCACGTGCTCTAGGTGTCCCTGCTGGAGCAGGAGGATTGGACTAGATGATCTCCAGAGGTCCTTTCCAATCTCAGCCATTTTCTGTGTGATATATTTGATACTAATATGTTTGCACATATTATTAAAGAAAGTTACTATTTTTTTTAAAGCTGGTGGCATAGTTCAAGACCAAGTCCTGCAAAACAATAGAATAATATACCTACATGACACATATTAGTTATTTTAACATTTATTTCTACTAAAATTGGTGTGAGGGATGTATATTTACTTTGCCACAAGAATGTCTGAGACCTTTTGCTGCTAGTACACGTAGCCTCCACCTTACAGAAGGTTTAGCATAGCATAGTTTAGTTTCGGAGTAACTTTTACATTAACTCATTTGATGACCTGGTGTGTAGATGAACATGAATACACAGCTGATCATTGGTACATAAGAAGATCCAAAGAAGACTACCCAAAACAGCTTGTGGAGTAAATTAGAACAGATAAAGAAGTGCACTCATGCCTTGATTTCTTCATTGAATCAGAACTTTCATTTGAAACAGGGCTGCACTCATGTACTCTTCACTAAATTTTATTTTAGAGAGTGTTTGAAGGACAGAATTACTGAGGAATAATTTCATTTAGTATAAAGAGGGATACCAAGAACTATTAAGGGTGATGGTAGTAGGAAAATGTCATATAAGAAAAAGAACAGTATAATAATTTTCAAGTTAATCAGTAAGCATTGTTGCTTTCAAAAGATGCTTGCTGGTATCAGTGATGGTCATGCAACTACAGAATCATTCCTTATGATCAGAAAAGCTCTCTTTTCCATCTTTACTGTATAAGATTAACCATTGTTGTTTCATCTTCGACTTGCACCTTGCTCCAAAAACAGCTTGTGTGTTTGTGTGTGTGTATGTGTGTGTGTTAAATACGGGAAAAAACATCTTAAGAATCTCAAGGATGTAGGTTTAAATTCTCTATTTCTGAAATCAAAAATCTTGATATCTAGTTTACTTCCTACGGAGGAAGCATCTAAGTATCTTTCAACAGTCTGGGCCTCTGGAATCTAAAACCTGAACTCTGAGTCTCCTTTGTTAAAATATATATATATATATATATATGAAACAGGTGCCAAATAGGATCTATCTTCTGGATGATTAAAAGCAAAGATCTTTTCTTTCTAATTCTTTCTGTTTTGGTGCAGTGAATGCTACAAAATTAGAGAGATGAAAAACAGTGTGATGCTAATGTCATAAGAATCAAAGTGTATAATATCCCTGAGCGCTCTCACCTTTTGCATCCCACAAATCTGTATTTGAAGAGTGAAAATGATTTGCACAGAGAAGGCACTAGAAAATGGTTTGTTTTAATGTTTTAGTGTATTACTGTTACAAGCTTAAGCTGGTCAAAGCAATCGGCATACGTTTGACAAAAAAGAGGGGCATACCTGGGCTCCTGAATTTGGAGCAAGAGCAAAATTAGAGGAATTTTAAAATGCTTGTAGACAGTTTTTGTCCTAAACTGTCGGTGCTTATCCCATTCTTTTCCTCTAACAGAGTGCGGAACAGATCAGCGCCTTGTGCCGAAATTTCCAGGAAGTCCAGGCAAGCGGTATGGAAGGACAGAAGGACATCCAGGATCCGTCTCCTCGACCACTGGCTCGGCACCTATCTGATGCAGACAGACTGAGAAAAGTCATCCAAGAACTTATGGACACTGAGAAATCTTATGTCAAGGTGAAAACAACAGCAACAAAAAAAAATTCTGGCTAGCTACAGCTTTCTTTGTAAGGCTGACTGTTACTACTACTGTTTAAATGAGTGGCTATGTATGTGGTTTATGATTAACATGCCTGATTAAAATACTTGATGCTCTTCAAATGCACGAATATCCTTTAGAATAGGTACATATCTGAACATAAATGTTTTTTAGAAAGCCATTATCTGTAACTTTCTCTGCCCATGCTATACTCCATGCTATATACTTATTCTATATATATATATAAAGTATTATATATATATAACATGCAATATATAATATATATATAATATTATATATATATGCTATATATGCCATGCTATATATTTTATTTTTATCAGGCTTAAGGATGAAACAAAAATATTACATTGAAATGAGTTATCTTTAATTTAGCAATCATGTAGTACTAACAATTTGAAGGATTTTGTTACAGAACAGGGACTGTATCTCTACTTTTTTTTTCCTGAAAACTATGTCCCTCCATTGTGATATAAAGAACAATTTCCAACTGTAACATAAATTGAATAAATTCTGTTTCTTGCAGGACCTGAGCTGCCTATTTGAGCTCTACTTGGAACCCCTTCAAAACGAAACTTTCCTTACCCAAGATGAGGTGAGGGAATATCTGAAAGATGTTCTTTTCATTGTTTTATGGGTTCTATTGGCCTTTGAACTTTTCCATTGCTGAGAAGCATGACTGAAAAGGCAAACAAACGTGGCAATAGAGTTACACCACTTAGCTGCTGTCTAGTATGTGACACACTGCTTTTTCTAACAGTAATTATTCTGAATAAGATGATGCTAACAATTTGTTGCCTTTTTAATGACTTTTCTATAAAAGCCATTCCAAAACATATTAATGACCACATTATTGGCATTTGCAGTCTCTGTCTTGTATGTCGCATCTCCTTCAAGGATTGTTTCCATATTCACAGATGGAGTCCTTGTTTGGCAGCTTGCCAGAAATGCTGGATTTCCAGAAGGTGTTTTTGGAGACCCTTGAAGATGGAATTTCTTCTTCCTCAGACTTTAATACATTGGAAACACCCTCCCAGTTCCGAGTAATTCCTTGATCTTTTATTATATTGAAGTGGGTCTGAAAATGTGTTTGGATATCTGACTTGAAGAACTCTAATTTCTGCCTCTTTCTTTTTTCATATGGTTGCTTTTATGTTTGAAGCTTTAGATTTCAGACATCTTTTCGGTGGTTCAAGATAAGTGCTATTTGTCACGGTTTTATCCTCCTCTTTCCCATGGCAGAGGATGTAGTGTGGAAGACGCAGAGTAGACTCTGAATATTCTATAATCTCTGAACTTGTCTGTTCTGTGAGCACCACAAGCAATGCTTACCATGCTGCTCTTCTGCAGAAAACTTTCTGGCACTGTGCTGGATTCTGCACTTGTGCTCCCCACTATGCCCAGTTTACTTGCTACAAAACAGAAGCATTTCCTGTTAAACGCAGCAGGAGTTTCTCACGTTGTGAGGTCCATCAGTACCTGGGAAGTGTAAATGGTTGTACATTGCAATGGTTGTGCTGTGTGTTGTCTCACAGTGGCACCGCTCAGTCCCTGGAGGAAGTAGGTGGTCCGGGAAAGGCAGCAAGTGCCACAGGAGTAGGAGGTGCTGGCAGGTCTCCCTGACAATTGCTGCCTTTTGTGGAGCAAACATTGATTAAAAAAGGGGATGAGGGCTGCTTTCCTCCTCTTCCTCCTCCCTCACTACTCCTCTTTCTTATCTTTGCTTTGGGAAATATTTTTCTAAAAAGATCTCCTTCATGAGTCAGATCCCTCCCACATATTCCCAACCTCCCTTTCATCTAAGAAGCTCAAAGGTGCCTGGTAATTAGCCCCTGCCTAAAAGAAGAGAAACAATTGGAAAGCAATCCTCTGCACTGTTCTATACTGTCCTTTCTTTCATTGGCAGCTTTATACCTTCCTTCCTATTGTCCATATCTTTCCCCAGGATATGCCATTAGATGTCTGTTACTACTGTTCCTGTGCTGAGATCCACCTCTACTGTAGACTTTTAGTCTTCCTAATGCAGAATTGAGACTGCAGGCCTTGCCTAAATAGCCTGAATTTGCTACCCAGGGAAATACAGAAACTTCACTTCCATGTAGTACTCCAGGAATACATTCATGTGAAAAATGCATACACATAGTAACACAGAATATATAGAGACAGGCAGCAGATATTGGAGGCTTAGCACTCTGAGTATGTGACTGAACATTTGATCATGATCTAGTAGTGAAGTAAAAATTTTGATTGTTTTAATTTCAGAAATTATTGTTTTCCCTCGGAGGTTCCTTTCTGTATTATGCTGACCACTTCAAGCTGTACAGTGGCTTCTGTGCAAACCACATCAAAGTTCAGAAGGTTCTTGAGAGAGGTAATTTATCATCTTTTTCATTGTAATTAATATCCATAAATTTAAACTTCAGTGAACCCCTGTAAGAAATCTCATCAACTTAGGGAGAACAGTGACATAAAGCAAAGTGTAACGGGGCATCTCGCAGTAAGAATAACAAAGATCCTCAAATCTAATAAAATTCAATAGAGAGCTGAAGGGGCAAGCACCTAGGCATAAGGCTGAAGTCTGTGCTGACTGCAGGGACAGCAGAAGCAGCAGCTATATTTGGTTTGGGTGTTCCTGCATGTGAAAGGGTGGGTGTCCACCACAGCCGCAAAAAAGTGACTCTAGTGTAATTTAATGGTTGCTCTCCCTGCCATGAGTTTATTAACGTGATGCAGAACAGGCTTAGAGTGTACTGGAAGAACTATATCAAGGAATAATAACAGCTTGATATAATTATTGCTCTTAGTGCTTATTTTCACTGTGTAAATCACCACAAAAAGCACCTGTTAAAATGTATGTGACAAGACTGGGGCTTTAGGTGATGGTTGCACGTTGCAGTTCTGTGCTTTCAAATTATCTTGCCTTCTGTGATTTCCATGTTAAGCTGACTGTTTTATTTATATTTAGCCAAAACAGATAGTGCCTTTAAGGCCTTTCTGGATGCTCGAAACCCCACAAAGCAACATTCTTCAACGCTGGAGTCGTATCTCATAAAGCCTGTCCAGAGAGTGCTGAAATACCCTCTGCTGTTAAAAGAGCTGGTGTCTCTGACAGATAACGAGAGTGAGGAGCACTATCATTTGACAGGTAACTTCTTTTACAGGGATTTACAGGAATTAATAAGTTTGATTTCCAAGGCTTTCTGAAGATGCAGGTGGCCACTCTGCTAGTTGTCAGAGAACTTGTCAAAGCCTAGAGAAAATTTCCTCCCTCTCATTAAAATAGGAAGCTTTCTCCTGCTTTTAGTGAAAATTTTGACCTTGTGTGTCCAAATCCGCTTGAAAAGCGGATGCCCAGGATTTGCTGTGACGAACAGGACTAGGTATCTTACTCCTTAATTTCTGTGACAGGAGCATATGTCAGGGCCATGCAACAAGGTTTTTTTTTTTTTTTTTTTCCTAATTTTCTTTTTCCCCATCCCTCAGAGGGGAAATGCTGACCAAAGCTCCATCTTGTGGTTATTATTCAGTTCTTGAAATGTGTCAACGTTCAGCAGCAAACGACGTCCAACAAAGGCAGTATTGTCACTCGTGCATAAAAAACACCTGCCTCAAAACTTTGCAGCTTTCCCACAGAGAAATAATTGTGTCTAGCATCATAGGAAGAAAATAGAGTTAATTCCATTTCTAGATTCAGATCCTTGGGACTTCACACTGGCAAATTCCAGTTCAGTGCTATCAGCACCTCAAGGAGGAAAGTCAATAGAATTATTTTGTGGATAGATTTACATTTTAGTAGAATGGATTCAGGCAAAATACACTGCCAGCAAAAAGTCAGAAGACTGTTATTGCCTTTGAAAGGAGCTTCTGATGCTGTATTTTGCCATTACAATCGAACTGCGGGTGATTGACTTGCAGGCCAGAATGAATACCAGACTGTGCAGGGAACAGCTGAAAGGACTGGAGAAACTTAGTGCCCTTCTCTGACTCCTGTGTGCATTAACAGGAACGTTATGAACGCAATGAAAACGAGCATCATCTTGTTTAGAAAAACAAAAGTTAATCAAACTTAACTCTTTAACATCAACACTTAATATCGTGGATACAGTCAGTGAGGATCTTGCACAGTCTGTCACTGTATTTCTTTCCTCCATTCTCTGATATGCTAAATTCAATATATTATTACTAAAGTTCATCAAATTACTTATTCTAGTATACCTGTAGATAAATTAGTAGTCCTAGATTATTACAGAATGAAATAAACAAACTGTGTTCCTGTGTCAGCAGGAAATATTCATATATTTGGGAATTTATCACAAGAATAGTTATTAGTCTTTTGGGGCACTTAAAACACCAGCTAAGCAATTTTCCCTGCAGATGAGGAAGCAGACCTTCCACAACTGGTAGGACAAAGTACTGCTCTAAAGCCAGGATACTATTGTCCACATGCTGGGAACACTGCATAGTTTAACCCACCTCAAAGAGGATTTAGGGGATTTATAACATACAATTTAATCACCTGGCTTTCTATGTAATTCTCAAACTTTATAGAAGCACTGAAAGCAATGGAAAAAGTAGCCAGTCACATCAATGAGATGCAGAAGATATATGAAGATTACGGCACAGTATTTGATCAGCTGGTTGCAGAGCAGAGTGGAACCGAGAAGGAGGTAAGAAAAGCAGCAGTTTGTTTTATTCAGTCTTGAGACATAATCCTGAAAGCCATTGGATGCCCTTATCTCTTCCTGAAGTCACTCTGGCAACTTGTGTTGGGTTCTCCACTGCCTTTTAACACAATGACTTCCATTTCATATCTGTCCTGTCAAGTTTCTTTTTGTCAGCAGATTACTGTAAAATTTTCAGACAGCTGCCAGAGCCTTTTTCTGGGCTGACAAGAATTGCAAGCAGAAGTAGACATAATTCTCAAAAAAAAAAAAAAAAAAAAAAAAAAAAAAAAAAAGACGTCTTCCTCTTCTCAAATCTTTTATTAGAGATTATCTATGCCCAAAGGCATTCAGATTTTATGCTTCAGAGTTCTTGAAGTTCTTAAGATTCTTTTTCCAACCATATAAATGAAAATGGCAATTCTAGGAATTTTCAAATTAAAGTCTATTATTTTCATTCTCTACGCTTCTAGCACTGAGACATCCGTGCCTATTTGTCAGAGCAAATACTATTAGCCGAATGGATTGTGTTTACACATCTCCCAGAACTGGGGCAGCAAGATCTCCACAGAGCCATTTACATCAAAAGTTTGCTAAGCAGATCAAATGCATAAAGACTGAGACCAGATATGAGAGCTGCCAACTTGATTGTTTTATGCCCTCTTAGTAAAAGCCATATTCCTACTTTTCTTGGCCACCTGGTTTCCTGTCAGGTACTGGAAACAAACTTGGCAACCTGAGAGATTCTTTACAGCTTTACATAGTTTTCCAGAGGAAGGGGGGGAAAAAAAAAAAAAAAAAAGAGAAGGGCGGGGGACAGCAAATAAAGTAAAAGATCTATAAAACACCTACACTAATTATGCCTTTGGCATTCTCATTAATGACAATTACTCTCTAGAAAAGAAAGATAAAAGTTAATAAGTCAGCCAGCTCACAACTGGCTATAATGTCAATGACAGAATATGAGGTCAACTTTATACTCTTCTAAGTTAGTAATATTGTATAATGAGTGCCTTACTAATGGTTATCCTTTTAGGAAAGGAAGTTACTTTCCTGCTAGATGCACTTTTCTGTTTGAGTGCACATGTCTCTTTCCCTCTCTGGTGTCTCTCTGTCCATTCCCTAAATACAGCAAATGTACATCCTTAACGATCTCAACATGTACTCATAAACATTTTACATCTAAGAGCTATAGATGACAACACTGATGTATCTATTCTTCATAATTTAAAACAGGTGACGGAGCTTTCAATGGGAGAACTTCTGATGCATTCTGCAGTTTCCTGGCTGAATCCTTTCCCATCTCTGGGCAAAGCAAGAAAAGATCTTGAACTTACAGTGTTTGGTGAGTGTTTCCCTTAATGACCTTTTCGCCTGACCAAATATAAAGAAAATGAAGTTATTATTTTCTACTACTGAAAGTGCCCCTCCTCCTTTTGCTGTAGCCGTGGGGTATCTAGGATAGCCTTGGACCTGACAACAGGCAGAGAACTGTTGCATTCCCTACTATGAGAAGGATTGTCAAGTTTCTTTTGTTCATTTGCTGTTGTTGTTTGCCTTGTTAGCCAGCCTCAGCTGCTCTTCTGCCTGTGTGTAAACTATGGAAATCAGTGATGTTTCAAGAGACAATAATCTCTTTAAATACTGCTAAAGCAAGCTTTCCGGGGAGGCTGGTAGGAAAACAGTGGTGTTTTCTTCCCCTGGGAATCCAAGCTAACCTCCGATTTTACAGCCATTGCAGAAAAAAAATGTGTTGTCTGGCAATGCCCATCCAAATTATTTTAACTTGAAAAATGAATGAGGAAATGAGAGTATACAACTGAGAATTTTATTTAATAATATCTCTACTATTAATCATTCAATAATTATATTACATAAATAATTAAAAGGTCCCAGCAAAACATTGTAGGGACTTCACTATTTCCTCAAAGAACATTTATTTAAATTGGAATTGGAAAACACTCACAGAAGAAGTCCAGGTTGACATGAGACCAGTCTCTTCCCCAGGGTTGTCATACCTTCTTCTAAAGCATGATAGATTAAGGGAGAGAGTGCTCGGACACAAGCAGGAACTGCCTCCACAGGTTCCCTTGGATGAGCTTCTCAGTGATCCACTAACACCAGGCGCCCGAGCCCCAGGCGTCCTCTCCTTCATACAAGATGAATGAGAGGACTTTGGCCTGTGGCTTGATAATCAGGGCTTACCCTGGTGTTAGTTTCAGCTGGGACTCTGTGGTGGCGGCGTAGGAAATGCAGCAGATATGTGGAAGGCAGGAAAGCTACGCCGAACTCTGAAGTAAAAGAGCTAACTACGGCCACAGGCTGGCTCCGTGAAGGGATGAGAGCCAATAACAGCCCCCTTGCCTTCTCTCCTCCCACACTAGAGGGAAACCTGGGTGCAAGAGTAGGAGTAGAGCTAGACTGCCCGGCAGCCCGAATCAAGGCCTGGGGAGCGGAGTCCTCACGTAGGCCAAAGGCGCCTTCGCTGTCTCCGCGTTTCTGTGCCCTCCTCACCGACTGCAGGGAATGTGTCCCTGCCTCGCCCGAGGCTGAGATTAGGTAACATGAGTGAGTCACTCCCGTCATATGTTGTGGAAGGCGGAGAATTCCTGCAGATAGAAAAGTAGGAATTGAGATGAATGTTTCCAAATGCTGAATGGCAGGAAGAAAAGACTTAGCACCTTTCGTGGCAGGTGCTTTGGCCATCAGCCCTTCATTCCACCTGCAGACATCCATCAGTTTGGTGTTTTTCTATGCAGAGAAAATTTTCTACGTCTCTACATCTGAACTACATCTGTTGTATCTGTTTATGTAAAGATTTATGGGAGACAGTCTGCTGTTAGTTTTAGAAAAACACGTTCCACTGTAAATGTTCAAAACAAAATCTTAGGAAAAAAAATGTTGCTGCTGCATGAAGGAGTGTAGGATGAAAAACTCTGCTGTTATCTTAATACAGGGCAAATCCTTTTCAATCACTTTGCTCATCATCCTTTAAATTCTAGTGATTATAATAATCTGCTTCTCCACAATAGCATTTTCAATGAATATCGCAGCTGTATTAATAGTGATTCTTTTTCCTTCTTTTTTTTTAGTTTTTAAGAGAGCTGTAATACTTGTATATAAGGAGAACTGCAAACTGAAAAAGAAAATGGTAAGTTTGGTGTAAGCTGGAGGGGTGGATGTTTTTGCACAGGCTCCTACTGTCTCATCATCAAAGATGGACCATACTGGTGTCGAAGGGAGAGTTAACTGTGGATAAATGCCACTTTCCCACACTAGACTTCAGTTCTCTTCTCTCTCTGAGAGCTGAAACAAACCAAGTATTCAGTACCTGTGTAGCAAAAAATATATTTTTTCTCATTTAGTGAGCATCATCATCTCTGTGAGCCACATGGTTGCTCTGTCAGGTGAAATATGAAATCTTGCCATGTAGGAATTGCTGCAGATGTCAAATATGATCGTCTACGGTAATCTGGTGCTTAGGTCAAAGACCTCTGGTTATAGACCCTTGATCACTCTGGAAGGAAAGGCATATTTTTAACATAACCTCATCTGTTCCATTTACAAAGCTAGAATATTGAGGTCAAGCAGCAAGTTGTATATCCTAAGTACCAGAAGTGCAGTATTGCACTATGCTTATTGTAGCAGATGGAGGGCCTCTAAAAGTAGTGGCAGGAGCTACATGATTAATGTATTCTGCTAATCAACGGTCTGTGAGTTTTTGCAGGAAACTTGTTCCTTAGCTAGTACTTAAATGTTGAAGTATTATTTTTAATCCATTAAAACACTTTGAAAGCTGAAGCAATTACAAATTTCAAGGCTGAGTCTATCACTACTACTGCTGTATCAGCTACAAGCCAGCATTAGTTTACTGTAGGGGAAAGTCTAACAAACTGTAATTTCTCTTTAGATGTGAGTCTTTCTAAGGAAAACAAAATTACATCTTTTTGACTTCTCTTCTTAGAAATACCTTTTTGTTTTTCCTTTTGCAGCCCACTAATGTTCGTGCTGCACATAATTTTGGTGACTTGGATCCATTTAAATTTCGTTGGCTGATTCCTTTATCTGCTCTTCAAGTTCGACTGGGGAATACAGCAGGTGATTATCTGGCACTGAGTACTCTAGTAATGAAAACTTTCCTGGGATTCTGCAATGCTGCTTCTTCTGTATGGCTTTTTGGAACCTCTGGAAATACGCAGCTGTAAAGAAAACAGTATCCGCTCTTGCCTCTGCTTTCAAGGGGTACTGGCTCAATACATGAACCTACTTTTTTCCATTTGTTACGTTGGCATCATCCCTCGCCCTCCATGAGCTCAGGAAGATGCAGGACGACCTGGAGGCTGACTTGCAGTGATCTTATTGCTGGGATCTCAGACTCTCACAAAGAGTTGATATTTGATAGAATGGAGATTCCCAGTAAAAAGATACCATGACCAGGAAGGTGTTTCACTGTGGATGATGCCCTCTTGACACCTTTGTGTTCAGTGTGAGCACAAAACCACTGACCACTGTGTTTTTCCATGTAGGAAAGTTGACTGCGTGATTTATTATATCAGGGCATTCTCTCCTTTTTGTTCTGTCTTTAAGTTGATCTTTATCGTACAGTGGTTCACAGTTGAATCCAAAAGAAATGGAGTTGAAGCAAGCAAATACTGTCTTACCCAGTGACGTTCCTTGTATGAGTGTCACAAGACATTTAATAGTTAATGCTTTGCACACCTGTGAGAAGAGCCATGTAAGGCAGCAGCCTAAGCCTGTGGTAAAGTAACTTTCTGGAGAGAAGGTAGAACTGCAAGGCTGCTCAGAGAGTTTAGGGGACTTTCCTTTAGGTTCTGCCTCATTTGAGATCTTACGTGACCACTCTGTACCTGTATTAGCACATTTTTTGGGAGAAGAGGAATTTTGAAGTATATACAAAAACAATGCTTTATTCCATGTGCAGGAACAGAAAACAGCTGTATCTGGGAACTCATTCACACCAAGTCAGAACTAGAAGGCAGACCAGAAACTATTTTTCAATTGTGCAGCAGGTAAGCTTTACACGGAGCTTGTATTTGTCAAGTCATATTAATGGAATTAGAAAGAATTCACACTTTTTCCCCAAGTGACCTTTGTGTCAGCACTTGTAAGGCAGCTTTCAGTCTCTGGTTCCAGGCATTGAGCCAGTATGTAACTACATAAACTGTGATGATGTGAAACTGGAGTGAATTTGGCTCAGTGAGCCTGTGTTAGAAAGCTGCAGATACATGATCGTAAATCTCACTGTATTATGGGCAAAGTAACTATGTTCTCATGGGATGCTTTACCATGTTCTTGGTGGGATAGCAGAAATGTTCTGATCATGATCATTAATCCTGAAGCAGAGGAGGTTATCTTTTGGGCTGTTTTGTTGAAGAAAAATAATTATGATCAAAGTGTGAGAAATGCCTAACAACACATCAAGAGGATAGCTGCAGAACTGCTAGAAAAGAAATAGCCTGAACCAAACACTGCGCTAAAGCACTCCAGCAGCAAGGAGGAAGGCAGATTTTATCCCAAAAGTGTCTGTCTTCGGAGATAAAAATCAGATTGTCTGTTTTTAACTTACAGTGACTGCGAGAACAAGACTAACATTGTGAAGGTGATCCGTTCTATTTTGCGAGAGAATTTCAGACGTCACATAAAATGTGATTTGCCGCTGGAGAAAACCTGCAAAGATCGACTTGTTCCGCTCAAGAACCGTGTGCCTGCAACAGCCAAACTGGGTAAGGCTCTGCCAAAATGCAGAACTCAGCCAGGACACCTTCAAATTCGGGACACTAGGAGGGTCACAGTTATGAACAGGTCCACAGTGTGTCATGTGCCTCAATCTTGTTTCTCTTTTAGGCTGGGGAGCGGGCACAGTCACACAGCCCACATCAAAGGCTGGAGGACCAAAGCAAGCCTGGCCTCTCCCACACTGCGTCCTCAACCCTTGACATGTCATTAACTTTATTAAGTGAAAACTTACTTATAGGTCCCAAATCAATTTGAGGGGGTAGAAATGGACTCTCTTGGCATCTAGTTTTAACTTTCTTGCCTTTTGTTCTCCTTAGTGACCCAGCTGTAGTAACATTTAAAGCTGAAAAAAACGACAAAAGGCAGAGGTCCTGCTTCTTTCAGTGCACTAGCTCTGCACCCCAGCAGGTGCCCCAATTAAGCCCAAGCTTCAGACTATTTAGCTAAGTGAGCAAGTGCTGGCTACTAGTCTTTGAAGCGCTCCATCTGCTGAGGTGTCTGTAACATTCCGGTAACCTGATGGGCATCCGAACAGTCCCACTGAGGCCTCCAAACTGGCCCTCCTGTCCTTGAAGTACCAGAACCAGACAGATAGGTGGAAATCATTACTACAGTTTCTGCAAGATTTTGTACATACTGCAAATGAAGGCAAGCATAAAACCCTGGGATTGGGGGGATAAGACAGTGCAGGCTATATTGTGATATATTGCTTGTACCAGACTGGTTACTTACCAGGTTACTTACTGGTTACTTACCGTGGACGTTTATCGGACGAGCCTATATATGCTGTCTATTCTGAGCTATTGAGACAGACAGTGGAATGGGAGTCCCTTTTGGCGCAACACCTGAAAGCGCTTGTGCTTCTTCCCTTTGCGCAGCTTCCTCGCGGTCTCTGAAGGGGCTGCGGCCCGCCTGCAGCAGCGAGTGGCACGGCGACGCGGGCAAGGGCAACGGCCACGACTCCGACGAGTGCAGCCTGAGCAGCAGCACCCAGAGCAGCAGCTGCCACACGGCCGAGAGCACCCAGGAGCCCCCCAGTTCGTCCCCGGGCAAACGCTCCCCGAGCTGCGCGTCAGACGTCTCCAGCGTCCTCGTCAAGGAATCCGATATTCTCAGCGATGAGGACGACGACGATTACCAGAGCCTAAAGAAAGGCAGCCCTACTAAAGATATAGAAATACAGTTCCAACGCCTGAAGATCTCCGAGGAACCGAGCGCTGACTCTGAACGAGATCCGGGCCCTGAGAAGGAGGAAGGGGACGGTTTCAAGACAGACGAGCACCCCAAGCTGGTGCGCGGCCACTTCTGCCCCATTAAGCGCAAAGTAAACAGCACAAGGCGGAGCCGAGGAACGTTGCTGGCCATGCAGGAACGCCACCAGTCCCTTGACAGCCATTCTGAGGCTGCAAACTTGGATCTGAACTCCATCTTAGAGCGAGAATTTAGTGTCCAGAGCTTAGCCTCTGTAGTTAATGAGGACTGTTTTTATGAAACTGTGGAGAAGCACGAAAAATCCTAGCTTTCGGAGCACTATATTTAAATTATGGTTCATTTTAAGTCCACATAAAATTCACCAAACTTATTTTGCTTTAAAATTAGTAAATTCGTGGAAGCCGCAGGAAAACTAATATCTATTTGATTCTGTGCACTAAGACAGTTTTTTTTTCCACAAAAACAGCTGTAAAGGACTCTTAAGTTATTTTAATTTATTGTGGATCAAAAATAGAGTAAGCTGGCCAAGGTCTGTAAGTTAGTTAACCCTTTTCAAGCAGTTACTGAGATTTTGTAGTATTATTGAGGAGGGTAGGGGAAGGAGGGCTTTGATAGTATTTTATCTGGCAAGGATACTAGTGAGGTGATAGAGGCGATTACAATGGAAGGTAGATTTACAAAACAATCTTTAAATACCTTGGGCATTTTAGTTCTTTAGTTTTTGTTTTTGCTTTATTTAAAGCAGAATTAAGTTATTTTAATGTGTTCTAGTGCACAGCAGTGCCGAAATTTCATTTTTGTAATTCAAGATGCTGTTTATACTTTATATATAGATATATATATGTAAATATAAATACAAAGCTTGGGCTGTAATCTTTTATTTGACTGTATTTTTTATTTTCTCTACCAGCCTGTACAGTAAAAGACAAATACGTATTGTACTTAGCAACGTATTCTCCTTTTTATTGTGCTGCTTTTCTCCAGTTGGAGATTTAAACCCTGAGTTCTTTGGTTTGGCATAAATGAGAAGGAGTATTAGCAGACCTTACGGTAATCTGTGCACTTTATCCTCCTTTAAGCTGGTCACTTGAGTATATTTATACAAGGCTTTTGGCTTTTGTTTTTTAAATTACTCTGCACAGTAGGATATGCCAGGATGTAAAGTACACACACATACATATCATCATTTTACATGCTGGAGTATACAAAGTGGTTCTCTTCTGATTCAATACTGCACTTTTCATACAGAACTGTTTAGTTCAGAAGTTTCCCAGCTTCATTACATGTCTCACAAAACCTACCTTGCTTTTGCCATGTGCTCTGTCCATTCCATGAAGTACAGAGAACTTACAGGCACCTTTAACTGGAATGTTCTTTCATTTTTCTCTACAGCTGAATGTAATGAATAAATAAAACAGGAAAGCCCTCTCTCTCCAGCACTTTTTCAAAAGTTTTTCTTTTACACATGAGCAGATGTAGAAGTATATATATATATATAAATCCTCTTTTACTCAATCAACACCTCTAGATCAAGGACTTTAAAAGAAAAAAAGGCTGCTGAAATCACAGCTGTTAGAGCTGATTCTTCTTGTCTTCGTCCTCCTCTTCCTCCTCTTCAATCTCTTCTGAGTGACTGGTATTTTTAGGTAGTCTTTTCTTCTGCCTTAGTTCTTCTCTGTAATTGTATGTGAAAAGGTTTGGGTCTTCATCACACATTTTCCTGTAGACGTTGCACAGATTACTGAAGTGTGACATGGAGAGCTGAAAAGGACGCAAAGTTGGATCCACATCTGCTTCCATCATCAGCTGTTCTGTTTTTTTCAAGCGTTCACTTTCAGGAAACAAAATCCTAAAAAAGGGAAAAAAAGACAAGCAGATTACTCTTTTTCCCTTAAGAGACAGAAAGTAGTCTCTTGGGATTGTATTTAATATAGGTTTAATATTAAAGTATGTCATTACATTATCTGCCTAACTAGATTCAAGGGCTGTTTTTCTACAAATGCAATTTATAACATAGGAAAGTATATCCACATGTCCTACATTAAACATACCAATGAAAGTTTATGCTAACATTTTGAACAGCTTATATAGTTGTATTAGAATTAGCCTATACTTAAAGAGCAACAAACTAAATTAGAGCCAAACTATACGACTCTCAGGACAAGTGTTCCATTCCAGGGGGAAAGACAGACATGGATGTTACTTGTCCTTAATACTGCAAAGCCAATGCCAGAAAAAAAGTTAGGAAAGAAGAGAAAGGAATATTTAATAATCATTCATGTGTAATATTTAAAACTTGGAAAGGGTGCTTGGAGTTAGATTTTACTTACTTTGTGGTCGCTGATCATAAGAAGTCCCATCACTGACTTCCTGTACTCCATTTGCTGCCAGAAGCATTAGATTCCCTCTCTTACAAGTAAGTTCCCCAAATCTTAAGCAGTAGTGTTACTTCAAGTACCTGGTCAGGGTCTCACAAAAAAAATGCCTTACAGCAACTACCTGAAAGCATTAGGTGACTAGCTTCTTATTAGCAGTAGTCCCCAGTTTATATTATGTTAGGGACACAGAAAGAAATCTGGGCATGTTTGGTATATGTATGTGCTTCATCTAAGTTTCAGATCATCTGCCTCTGTCATACATAGGTAAGAAAGAAAGACCTAAACATGCATTTATTACAATGCATCTTTCCCAGCCTTTTTCCTACTGCTTTCCTGGACAAAAGCTTCAGGTAAGTGATGGCTGGGCAGAAAACTTAAGAAAGGGTTTAAAAATAAAAGGAGAGAGAGGGAATTTCTCAGACTAGACTGAAGCATGTGCTACACCAGCACATGGTCAAACATACAGAAACCAACAAAATCCTCCCCTCCACCAACACCATTATTTCAGCATGCCAGTCAGCAAGGCTGTAATGTATCAATCCTGATTTTTGATAGTCCTCCCTCCCATTATTCTCACCTCTGAATTGAGTAGTTAAAAAAATACTTTGACTCCAAAACACTTAATCGTCTTTAAACCTGAACTATGCACGATTATTGGTAGTACTGGCATGTACATGAATCCTCCTTGTGAAGAGCAATAAAAAAAGGGTGTTTTTTTTTTTTTCCTCCCCCCCATCCCCTTCACAGACCTAAATGTTTACTCTTACACGCCAGGTTTCCTGCAGATCATAGAACTAAGTTACACACATATCACCCTGTTTTCATACACTGTGTGCGATGTGACTAACTCAATAGCCCCTATTATAAACCAGCATTTGCCATGTTTTTTTCCTCACGTCAGCTAAAGCATAAGAAGATTGTGTTCCTTAGCTGCATGCTAGACTCAAGCACGCTAAGCTGCTATGGGATATGTGACGTCCAGCTTCCCCCTCCTTCCCTCCGGAGAATGTAGAGCACTTCCAGCGCTCCGACCTTACACAACAGATGCATTTGTGAAAGGCTGATAAAAATATCCCACCTGAAGTTCACATGGGCCTTCTGCTAACATTCTTTCTTCCACAAACAAAACTGAAAATCAAATTCAGTCAGGTGTGGGGTCTCTCATTTCTAAACAAACACACACTTGACATGGGCACATCAGCACTCGTTTTAGATCAGATATTTGACAGGCATCAATGCCACCTCAATTATGACATCAAGCAAAAAATCCCAACCTCTCTCTCCACAAAACTAGAGGCAAAACTCTACGCTTGCCTTTATGCTAGTGACACAGACAGCTTGTAGCTCAGCAGGGGGTGCCTGGGCTAACTGTAGGCTGCTTCAGGACCAACCCCGTGCCCTGCATTATTCAGCCCAGACAGCAGCAAACTCCTCTCCTTGGCTAGCCCAGGCTCTGCCTGTGGCGCGTTTCTGCACTGCTCAATGGCCTGTCCCTTGCCGAGCCAGGCAGACACGTGGGTCTGTGCTAGGGTTTAGCAGGATCCCTGGAGAGCAGTCTGCACTGGTTGCCCCTCAGCTCGACAGGGCTTCTTATCTGGCATGAAATGTAGAGAGGCAATAAGAATACCATAAAAGGGAAGCCTAGCGAGAGAGGAATGTTACTTTTTCACACTATCCCTCAATGAGCACAGTTTCCCACAGCCTGGGTACATTCTCCCTCTTCATACTGCAAGCTTTAATTTACAATTTCAGACTTTCACTTAATTCAAACAACATAGGCTGATGCTCACCTTTTACACTTCAATAGCATCTGTGTAGCTGCTTGTATTTTTGTGTCTTTTTCTAAGGACTGAGAACAACAAACTATCACCAATTTAGCTAAGTAAGTTTAACAGCTTTGATTTCCGTAACAAAAATGCAGTAATTGCGACATAGTTTCAGGAGAAAGCAATTCACTAAAGATCTGATGAACTATAGGTTGGCTTTTAAGCAATTACAAATGTAAACAGCGTGCATAGACTCAAATACATAGCTAAGGTGCTTCTTAACTGATATAACTGATGGATGCATTTACAAAACAGTATCTGAAAGAGAATTTTTTTCATGCAAGGTCCTTACCCAATTCCACGGCAGCAATATTTTCTTCTAAACTGGAAAGCACTCTGAACGACTTTTTCTACTAGCTTAAAAGGCTGTTGTATCTTCGGTTGCACCAAAGGAGTGAAATGCACCACAGCCACATCCACCTAGAAGGAAAAGCAAAATACCAAGATATTGGAATTATACATATTCATTTGAGACATGGTTTTCCTAAATTTACAGGTTAGACAACAGATATCAGGCAAACCTAACAAGATATTACTGTGACAGGCCTTTGAAGGCCCTGCTCAATTTTTATCTTTCTCAGTTATCTACGTATTTCTAATTAGCTCGCAAGCCATTAACAGTTAATACTCTTTCCCCCCATGGTACTTGCTCCATCTGGAACAACCTCCATGTAATCTGTAAAGTAATTAGCGTGCCTGTCTTCAGATCTTTCCACAAGGCAACTCTGACAGGATACACAAATGAGACAATATTCACTATCCAGGCTGAAGGGCAGTTAGAGAAAAATGATATTATAATTAGAAATCAAACTCACTCTCTACATGTTTTCTGTTGCTCTAGGGCTTTTCTCATATGTGAGTCAAGGAACTGCTTTTCAACACATCATTAACATTTTGAAGTTCTGGTCTAGTCAAAAGAACTGAAGGTAAAAATAAGATCACAATCAATTCAAGTGCCAAATGAACTTTGTATTTACAAGGTGGAGGATCACAGTTCTTTCTGAATCACACTTGAACGCTTCTGCACCAATCCCCTTCAAATCTGTTCTTACTCTTTTCTAGTTCTAAAGTCAGCTTGGTTCACGCACTGTCACTTGCCCTGCGTCTGGAAAAAGGATGAATTGACATCCTACATACACATCTGTAGGTACAGATAGACAGATATACACAGACACACATGAGTATACTGAAAGGTGCATATATGCATAAATGAAAACCACATTTTAATATATGTAAATGAACAAACTGAACAAACTTATGCACTCCCACCTCTCTATTATAAATACAGGCTGGGCTCAAAGTCCAGATCAGAACAAGATTGAAAAACATGCCGAAACGCAATCTTCCAAAGTGGTATTAACAAGTACAGAAAATTTACTGTGGAAGGGCACACTGCAAATCTGTACAATACTGATAATGAAATATGACAAAATATTTAAGTTTAAAATATACAGTGTCTTTATCAAAAAAAAAAAACAGTCAATATAGGAGAATGATCCACCTTTTTCCAAAGGCAATAGTGGCAATTACAAAACAAATTTTATTTGACATTAAACTGAAAATAATGTTAGTTTTGATGCGAATAAAAGACAAATTCAGACCAAACAAGACTGAGGTTCAAACCACAATCTCACTGTTACTATTCCTTGAGAAAATACACAGCAAGACAGTAGTTAAAAACAATTTTTTGTTTTCTAACATTGCAATCAGAACTGCTCTCAGCTTTTTTATTAAAAAAATAACAGTAACTTCTGACATGGACAAATTTTCAAGACAATATTGGCTGCAGAAAGTAAAAAAAAATGATTAAAGGTGACAATGGAAAAAAAACATATAGCAAGTTTTCAATATTATCAGTATTACCAAGTATATGCTACAGGTAGTATTCTTCTCCATTTGACACTTTTTCTGAAAACTGGAGTCAACAATAAGGCTGTAAAATTATTTAAATGAATAAGTATTATAAGAAAGTTCTAAGAGTTTCTTTTAAAATGTGAGGTAACAAAGCAAAACCTGACAGCTGGAATCTGCAGACAGAAATGCAAATAACCACTTCTCCAAAGCAACCTCTGAATTATTCAAGTGCTGATAGTTTCTACACTGAAAGCAGCAAACTATGATGTAGGTCTGGCGACCACAAGGAAAACTTGTGCTCACACAATACCAGAGGAAAAAAATGAAATGAAATAATGAAACGAAATGCTGTTTTGACAAGAGGTATAAAAAATCATGCAGGTACAAACAGGCAACTGCCCCAAAGGGAGCCTGCAGCTCCCTGCAGCCCAGCCTGCTCCAGACTGGAAGCAATGCCGTCACTGTCACTGCCACTGCCATCCACTAGACGCTCACACTGACTCGCCTGGCTGAGGTGCTGCCTCCGTGACCGCAGATGCAGAAACCAGCTACGCTTCCCTGTGGCCCAATAAATGTACCGGGATACGCTTTGCTCTGGAAGGTGCTCGCTCGGCATCAGATCCCTGTCTAAATGATATTCAGCTTCACTGTGTGCAGCAGTCAAAGGTATTAGATACCCTGCTCCGGACTGTCACATAAAATTGTTCGGAGAAAGGTACAAAAGGAAATAACCACAGATAAAATAATTAGTCCAAACACAGAAAACTGGATTTTCCAACAAACCTATTAAGTGTGCTAAAAAATGAGCGAGTCATAACCGGAATACTGATGTTGAAAAACTTGACCCACAGCTTCTCTTTAACCAAGGACAAGCCAAAAGCAACATCTCAATTTTCATTCCAGAAAGATTTCATTCCAGAAAAGGGAAAAAAAAAATCGGCTGTTGTTCTTTTAGAGTCACAGCAATGTAACAAACACCTGAATGTGGCTGCAAGTTTAGACTAGAGGCAAAACCCATGGGCATTCACAACAGATAAATGGAAATGCAAATCACTCAGAAAAAAAAAAAAAAAAAAAAAAAAGGATCCAATGACCGGGGGAAATGCAGCACCTACACATGTAAGTGTATTTTTTTTAAGCCGGGCCAATGCATACTCCACCTGACCATCTAGCTCCCTGCAGGGAAACACCAAGGGCTTATTTACTCTGGTAAACATTTATTTACAATTTTGTCATGAAATAAACCTATATATTTGCCCACCCAAAACAGGGACCAGAGAGCTGCCAGAGACCACTTGGGATCTCCTAGCCCCCTCTATTCTGCAGAGCCGCTATTAAGTGAGATCCGCGGCCGCCTCTTTTCAGAAGTGGGAGCTGCATCTTTAACAAGAATTACCGAAGGCAAAAAGAACCCCACCACGCAGATGCAGTGAACTACTGAAGAGAAAAACAGCTCAGCCTCAAGGCTAGTGGGCAATAATTTCTGCTTCTGAAACAAAACCCGGCACTTTGCAGCATCCGCTCCATTGTAGGCGCTGTTTTCTTTGAAACCCCAGGAAAGCGGCCTGGTTACTACAGCAACAGATACAGGGCAAAGCTTTTTGCTTGAAATTGGCCACTCCTTTAGAACGGTACGTGCTATTTTCCCCTAACCTTTTTAATATGCACAAAATAGAGAGCAGAATTACGACAACCCGTACAGTGCACGCAAAAGTACACAAGTTACTTGAGGATCATTTTAGTAGTACCTCTTTTGTTTCCCCCTGCCCAATCACTTCAAAAAATAACAAAATAATACTTCTTAGAAAATAATCAACAAACATATTACTCCACTGACATATGCTGAACTCTGAATAGTGCAACAGTAATTCTCCCCTCCCTATTCAAGTACATCCTCAGTACAACGAAATTTTATGTTCAAAGGTTGCGTGAACACAGTACAGAATATCATTTACCTTGGAGTAGTCTGCTCCTTGGCTGATAAAGCTAACACTCTAAATCAGAATGAGCTGAAAAGAAACAATTTTTACTAATTTATTAATTGTTGGCAATAAAGGTCTTATGTTAGGCAATAAACGTATCCTGCTACAAAGTTATTTTATAAGCAAATTCATCTACCCTTTGCCAAGCTGTCACTTCCTCTGCAAGGAACTGAAACCTAAGCAGAATGTAGTAAACTTCACAACAACAGATTGCTCGTGCTCCAGATAAGGTGCTTCTAAGTGACTATTTTCACAAACCAAGTGTTCGGTAGCAGTATTTTGTCCATCTACCACAGATAAGAGCATTAAGTCTAGCACCAGACGTGCCAATCTCACAGCTTTCTTGTTCTGATGCGAGGGTTTCACTGCGACTCACTTCTGGCAAAAAATAACTGTGCCACTGCACGAACAAGGATCTAATCCCCACACAACAACTGCTTTGTGATAATTTACCTCCACTCACACTAGTGCAAGGCTCAAATCAGCCTCAGGGTTCAGAAAATTTCCCTAGAATATTTTGCTTTTGTAAGTTAAAACTTTGGAGGCTTTTTGTTGTTGTTCTTGGTGTTTAATTTCATCTGATGTCCTTCCCTACTTCTTCCAAAAGAACAGGGGTAAAGCCAAAGGTCAGAAGACCATTTTTGGACAAAAGTTGCTTAATTCTGCTGATGTATCTTAACTCCCCACATACTCCTCAAGTAGGCACAGGTGAGTTTTACTGATGTAACCTAAAAATACACAGATGTAACATGTGTAACCTGATCCAAGTTCCAGCAAGACTCTCCAGCAGTGCCAGGCAGCTCACAAGTGGAGAAAGAGCACTTGGACAGACCAAACAAACAGCAGAATTTGTCCAGGATGTCCTACCACCCTCTGTGCTGTGTGCACAGGAACCTGTTGTGCCTGGGTACATCACATGCTGGTCCATGCGTTCTCTATCTGCTCCAAAGAACTCCAAAAAGATTTGACCTGACACACTTTTACAAAGACACTAACTTCTTTACAGTAGTATTTAACAGATTTCCCAGCACTGCAGAAAGTTCTTGACAGGCAGGAAAAACTTCCAAAAACCTCTAACTATGTTATATCAAATATGTGTATATGTACATTACATTAGCTTATATGGCACTTACAGAATCATCATACAAGACTCAGAGGTTATAGAAACTTCTCCCAGATGGGTCAATGGTCAAGCTATTAAATTTCACCTTGTCCTAAAGGAAAACTCCTATATGTTTCAAGGATAACAAATTGTTCTTCAGTAGAAAAAGAAAATAAAATGATTTTGTTTCCCAAACCTTCTGTAAAGTAAACGAGATCACATGGAAAGCATGCAGGACATTTATCACTGCTCCAATCAGCAAGATTCCTTCCCCAAACTTCTTGATTTCACACACTCACTAGGCGAGGCCACTCGACCAATTCTCTACGTCACCGTATAAGCCTTGCCAGCAGGTTTCCTTCCTTCATTCACTTACACAGACTCATGGAAAGACAACAGAGCAAAGGAAAACCCACAGATTCCTAAAGCTATTAGGGAGCGAGCTAAGCAAAACCTGTAGCTGAAATGTACTGCTCTTCCAATTACACACTAAAACATATTGCATAGCTCTTTTCTGGGAAATGTAAACTCATAAGAAGATTATCTGTGATTAAAAAAAACACTCTCTGGTTCTAGCTCTCAGTTTGGCTGAAATAAAATCTAACCCTACTTTTAAAAATACAAAAGTCTACAAAATTTCTGATTTCTCAACATTTTCTTGCCATTATCACCGTTTGCTGTTCTCATCTTAGAATCTATATTTCTATATGTTTTGGACTAATGGTTTCCATTAGTGTTTTACTTTGTAATCTGTTTTGCTTTCCCTTACTAAGTGTTTATCAAACAAAACTCATTAAACAAAGTATCCTTTATTCTCTGGTAGATGGAACTAACAGCGGGAACAAGCAGCAGTACTGCACTTAGAAGGGAGAAAACAAACAACAGTCCAAGAGGAGAGAGAAAAAACAGCACTCCGAGAAACTTTTGTTAATACCTGCCAATGCAGATTTCTATGAGAAGCGGCAGCTCTATTCCAGAGAACTTTTGTTTTTCCATGGCATCTACAGTGAAGAAATCATCTTAGACCTCATATCCAGCAGTAAGTGCTACACACAGAGGAATGTTAAATATCTGTATCTTTTATTATACTGTATAGTGCTTAGACTTCAGTTTGTCATGCCTTTGATTTATTTCACCACATTAATTATAATGTGTGACTACCATTTGCAGTGCTTTGGGTTGGTGTTTTTATGTTTGGATATGCTGAAATTAAATAAAGAAAGCTGCAACAAGAAAGGCTCACGCTACTAATCAGCTGGTTCAGGCTCTGCTGCTGATTGAGAGTTTGGAGCTGTCTAGTCCTGTCAGCTCCTCGGGCGAAAGGAAGCTCAGCCACCTCTCACGGGGGATTTTATGCAGCAATAATATGTGTTTGTCCAAGCAGCTCCTCACTGTTCAAACACACTGAAAGGATCTGGAAATAGGCAAACCTTTGAGATGGTATTTTAAAACTGAGTAGCTGCTAATATTCTAATTTTAATTGTAAGCCTTTTAAAAATGTATGCATGACGGAAATAGCACATCTTCAAATAATTAGCTGGACTAAGGATAGTATATAAATTCTAGTTTACTGCTAATCCTATTCTATAAAATTAGAGGATTACTTGCTACATAATGCTGTTGAAAAGTTTGTTGCTTAGAAAGAATACATGGTCATCAAACATGGTCATCTTATAGGTAATAAAGTGACATAAGTGCAACACTACGAAATTTTGTGTTCCACTTATTTCAACTTTATCCCCTAATATTTTATTTTTTCCCCATTTTAGTGAAAGTTCTACTACTAGCAACCATTTTAATATTTTCTTCATATTTATACATTATAAAAAGTTAAAACAACAAGTTTTTGTTGTTTTAACAACAGCAAGTCTTAGAAATTGTATTTTAAACTAAGAATCTGTCTTTCTCTATGAGGCTGAAAAATATACCGCCTGTTAACCACACACCCAACTCTAAACACAAGACACCTTTAGCTTATCCTAATCCACAAGTTTCAAACAATTTCACTCTATCTGCTATCCCAAATCCTCAACTGATGTAACAGCAACAATTCTGCATTCCCACATGCACAATCATTTCATGGTACTACTTAGGTGTTCTTTCTTGTTAAATGTAATCTGATCATTCACGTAGGAAGAGTAGAATACAGTTTCGCAGTGAATTTTTAAAGCAATACTATGTGGCAAATTTGCCAGTGATTTCAGGCAGAGGAGTGACCAAATAAAAAAAACTAAAAGGACTTTAACACAGCACAGCTGTTCCTTATGAGTGCTAAAGTAGTTCATGCAAAAGAGAAAAATATATTTTATTCTCTTTTGTAAAAGACTCCTGCTCAAGTTTGTTGCTCTTAGTCAAGGCTGGAGAATCCTATTTCTGAAAATGAAATGTTAATTTAGTTACATACGTGGCCACTTTACTGTAAGAATACAGCAAAACCTATATGCCATCTCATTCTATCAAAAATATTACATTTGGGGACATCTATTAGACAGAATAATGTTTCAATAGCTAAATAAAGGGGTCATTTTTAACCATACTTTAAAGAACATATAGTATCAATGTGCGCAGTTCAACAAACAGTTAACAGGAACAGACTGCAACCATGTATTCTATGTTTAAGACATTGTATTTTCTCAGTAACATTTATTTTCCATCACAGTATTTGTCCAGAATGGACAAATAAGAACTTGCCATAAGTCTGCAAGTTGCTAATGTTCCCCTTCGAACGTGTTTTTGCGCAGCAAGCTGGAGCCGAACGCGGCTCCAGCCAAACAAGCCAGCTTGCTGCCTGGCACTCGTGTCCGAAAGGGCAGCTCCCTCTTACAATCAATTCTAAAGCACCGTCCATTTGTCATCACTTCTGTTCAAGCACCTTCTGCCCAGCTGCTCGGCTGCTCTCATCTGCTGCAGGGTCACGCGCAGATATTCATTCAGATAGCTCTAATTTTAAATGCAAGCTCTTTCGTTTGCTGATTTCTTTTTCTTCCCCCCTGCCTCTCTCCTCCCCCCCTCTCCCCATCACACAGCCGGCTCCAGCCTTGGCTGCGAAGCTCCCAACCAGTTGCGCCCGTTTGCGAGAGAGAAGCCGGCAGACAAAAGGTGACAGCAAATAATCCCCATGGCATCAGCAGGGCTGCAGTGCTTTGCTTTCAGCCTAGCTCTGCTTGGCGTTTTTGGAGACATCACGGCCACTCTCCTACCTAACTGGAAGATCAACGCGGATGTTGGCTCGAATATCATAACGGCCATAACGCAGATGCAAGGGCTCTGGATGGACTGCACCTGGTACAGCACTGGGATGTTCAGCTGCACCCTGAAATACTCCGTGCTCTCTCTCCCTGTCTACATCCAGGCTGCACGGACCACCATGGTGCTGTCTTGCATCCTAGCAGCTTTCGGGATTTGCATCACCACAGTTGGGATGAAATGCACAAAGTTGGGAGGGGACACTGAGAGCAAAAGCCACACTTGTTTCGCTGGAGGAGTCTGCTTCATTCTTTCGGGAATCTTTGGATTAATACCCACATCTTGGTACACGAGAGAAATAATCTCCAATTTTCTGGACACAACCATTCCCGAGAGCAGTAAACACGAACCGGGAGGAGCTGTCTATATAGGATTCATTGCAGCAGGGTTTCTGCTTATTGCAGGTGCGATCTTCTGCACTTCTTGTTTCAAAAAGCAGCAAGGACCATGGATTTACCCAGCAAAACAGCAGCATTTCCCATCCACACAGCAAGAGAGCAACGCAGGTTACAACCTGAAGGACTACGTGTGAATTTGAGGCTTACTTTGTACTAAGTACAGCCTTCTCATTTTAAAGAACACGTTTTTCTCATGTCAAGGCTGCAAATTTGTTTTAGCAAGGCATTTTTACATTTAATGACATCAGCAAAAAGAACGAGGTAGGAAACAAAGCGTAAGTCTGCTACAAGAGGACTTTTTCTAGTGATCTGCAAAACCGTTTCCTTTTGGCTTTCCAAATAAAATTTACTGGAGAAAAAGGAACCTTTTTAGACTGTAATTCTCAGTAGAATTAAATTGATAATTTGTTAGAGCAAAGACTCTTAAAAACACACTGCTACCTATTCAGCAAATCTGACTATCAGTAACGTATGATCTGTGGTGATGCAATTTACATTTTTTTATTTTGAGATGAAAGGAAAAAAGGAAGCACTCGCTGTCCAAGAAGCTCAATTCATCGGTTTTTAAGTAAAAGACACATCTACCTTTCATTTTCAGTTTTCATCTGCCTTGCCAACTAGATTACTTTCTTAAAAAAAAAAAAAATCACTTTTTAAAATCTCCCACTGCTAAACTGTATTTTGTATCTGAGTATCAGGCTGAAGAATTAACACTACCATTCATTCAGATATTGTCAAATGTGACTCTCCTGGCCCAAACTGCCACCTGCTATGGGCTTTCACTTTTATTGTAAAAGAAATGTCTGTTGGGCATTCTCCAATTGCTATGTATCTACCACTACAAAACAAATATTAGATTTGAAGAGCAACATGGGAACAGAAGTGTCACTACAAATAAGACCTTTGAAAACTTTACCACACAGGATACAAACTAAGTAACTACATACGAGAAAAGTCTGGAAGTGCTCTGGCTCATTCTCACTCAAAGCAGCTTTTAACAGCGGAGATATTGCAGCTACCACTCATCCTGTCCTGAACATTTCTGGCCTTCGAAGAGAACTTCGGAATATGACAACAGTGGACAATCCTTTCAACAAAAGCAACTTCGGAATTTTCTTATTCATATACCACTCTTAGTTGGCAGGGTATTACCTCAAGTTCACTTGTATGCCACAGAGCAGTGATAATTTTATATATACAGTTAGCATAAAAGAGCTGTTGGAAAAATTAAAATCCTCTATTAAGGCACTGGAGAAAGCGAGACTTATTTTACACCCAATAATGCAAAGTCTTTCCATAACCTCTGAATGGAACTACAGCTTACTTGTATTACTGTTAGCAGGGAATAATTTTGAATTCCTATCTATTCATTAAGGAGCTTGTTTTATACTATTTTTAATACTTGATCAGCAGTTGTTCATTAATCAGCAGTTGTTCATTAATGCACAGCCCGAAATATCGGCAGAACCCCCAATTTTCTCTGTTTAGACACAATGTTGTACAGCACCATTCTGCTCCATAATCAAAAGTTTATTACATCTCAACCTTTATAGGCACTGTTGAAATATTTTTCATTCCTTAGGCAAACAAAATAAACATCTCATTCCCAAAAGCAGTATGCCTGTCAACCCTTAGTAAGGGCTCTGACATTAACAGTAAGCTGTTATCATTGCTAATATGTGAATTAGAACTTACATTTATTAAATAAGAATGAAAAAGGTTTTAATATGCAAGCACAGATAAGAGGCAGTAATTTCACTTCACAAGTAAAAATGAGCTCTTCATCAGTTACACACAGAGCTCAAACTTCTATTGTTAAAACTATATACAGTTTACAGCTGAAGTTGCATACCTCTGAAATAAAACCCGTGCACTGAGCTATTTAAATCAGAACACACTGCAACAGCCTTCTAAGAAAGGAGTTTCTATCTACCGTTGTAGTACCTGAAGTCACATGTTAATTTAGTGCTGAACAAAACAGGTTCAACACGGAAGATAAATTGAAGGAAATGAAATACAGTGAAGCAGGTGCCTGGTCTGAGTCACTTGTACTTTCTGCTTTTGGCATGTAGTCAGCACTTGTTTATATTCAAGGAAATGTATTAATAAATACATTCTTGCTTTTAACTTTAGTGTCTTTTCTTGAGAAGTCTTTATTTAACTAATCACTAACTGACTGCAGGATCTCCATATGCTAACATATTTGCCAGGACTCTATGGGACAGGTGCTTGGGGGCAACTAAGGCCTTTTTGGTAAAGTAGGAATATTAGTTAGAGCTTCCTAAGTGCGAGACCCAGTCTGCAGAAGTTTTGACTGCACTAGCACCACCACAACCTCAACTTGCATCCAATATTTAGAAGAAAATAAGACAAAATTGGAATATTGGAACTACTGAACACTATTTCACAGGTTTAATAGTGAGAGGACTTCCAGAAGTTGTTTCTGGAAATTACCTGAAAAAAGGCATACCTCCTTCTAATCTCACTAAAAACATATTCATTTATAACATCAGATACTTAAAACAGTTCTCAGTTATTGGTCTCTTCAAAAAAAGATAATTGTGTATTGTTAGTGCTTTTCAACAACTTTAATGGCATTCTCCCAGAGGAGCCTGTTTTCTGAAACCAAATGCAACTGTCACTGTTTATAACTAGTACAAAACGAAATCATGACCTCACATTATAGACCTTGCTATGGGGATCTTCTTAAAAGTGAGAAAAAATGTTACAAGGAGAAACAAGCATTTTAACTTTTGCTTTAATCTGTACTATATGTGCATGTACTGATCACAACTGAATTGTTACAGTCTTTTAAAGGAGAAATTAATCAGAAATAGTAGATTTCAACAATTTTTGTTCACTCACAGAAACTCAGTAATCTTAACATATAACTAAGTCACAGCAGAGAGGAAAAGAAAATACACAACAGTACTCTCAAACTAAAATAATAAACCTGGAGTCCACTAAGCCTCATCTGACATGACTACTACCAGATTCCTCAGAAAAATAACACAGCTTAAAGTAGAAGTTATACATCTATGTATGTCTGCAAAGGAATGAGCCTTGCCACAGTTTTAGCTAATCACTGATCTATGCTCCAAAGCATGATAAATTAGGATCCACTTTGACTAAATATCTGCATATCATTACTTGCAATGCTTTAGTCTCCTCAGTGTCACTGATGCTTTGTCTGAGATGGTTTTTGACACAAATTTCCACACTAATGCTGTTTTAATTTTTTTTTTTTTTTTTTTTTAGCTTTTGGGTAATCCACGACTCTTTGACCAGAGCTATCCTGCTCTTCAACTTGATTCTGCACAGTACTAAACACTTTCAGTTTCCGATTCCAAAGGTCTTAGAGCAAATTATGTGCATTTGACACCTCTCATCAAAACTCCCCCCCTTTTTTATTTTTTTACGCAATCAATGTCTCTTTATGCTGGCAGTTTCTTCACCAGATACATCTACAGTAATCTACTACTTGACTGAAAAGTTAACAAAAAAATGAGAGAAAGACACCAATCCTTACCTCCGGCTGTGGAACGAAGGCTTGACCTGGAATTACGAAACAGTTTTCAACAGAGCAGAGATGTTGAGCCATGATGGACAGTCTGCTGCGCTGTTTACCGCCTGTCTTAGCTGTGAGCCTCTATGGAAGAATCAAAACATAAGAATCAGCAAAATCCAACTGACCAAGAGGAAAAGGCACTAAAGTTGAATTTTCAGTACAATCTCAAGAAAAGACAAATTGAAAAAAAAAAAAAGAAAAAGGAAAAAAAAGGAACAATTAAACCAATCTTTATGCCTCATACATCACCTAGAATTCTTCCCCATAAAAGAGCATTCCCCTTATCATATTAATATACAACCTCTGCCCTGCAGTCAAATGCAAATGAAATGCAGCAACATGACCTTCTGTAAAACTTTTCAAAAGTCAAAATAATTTTGTAAATGAACATAGGGGAAGATTAAAGCACTTCTGACTGCAGGATTCAATTGAAACATCACAGTTGTTGACAACATTGTTACATTCTTTCTTTACACTGTGTCTGTATCAATTCTCTATCAAGATCAAATAGAGCTTCACAAACTTGGAAAATATCTCAGAAAATTTCTGCATTATAAAGTGGTCTATGCCTACTACTGATGTTAGGATGCTGCATCCACTTTATGTAATTTAAGAATACCTCACAATACAGAGCATTTAACAGTTCAACTCAGTAATTCCCAGAACATGACAAGGAGTTTCTTATGAAGGTTATAGAATATTCTTTATGTTAGTCTTGTCGTTAACAGAAGAGTTCAACACTTTTGGAAGCTGGATGCTGTGGGAATCTGGAGATGTCTCAGTCCTTCAGGAGTTTGTCACTGTCTAAGACTTCTGCCCCCACTGTAGTGGTGGCTGGAGAGATCATGTGTTACAGAGAGCATCTCTACTTCCAACAGAGCTTCCTGGACAGATTTATCCATGTTGGGGCTTTAATCAATATGCTGGATAGCAAACTCGGACAGCTGAGATTCCCTTTTAATCAGTGGGAAGGAACTGCTTCATGGGAGCAGCAATCTGCTGAACCACACGAAGTAGCAGCTGTTTGTCAACATCCAGCAGAGCCTGTGCAGAAAGGAGGCTCCAAAATCTTTTTTTTTTTTTTTTTAATGTAAAAGAATAGAAAGAAGGAATCAAGACATAAAAAGTTTTCCACACTTTCATGAGCTGGCAAGAAATATGTTCTGTATATTTTGCTAATACAAGCAAGATAAATGGCCTTAAGTAAAACAATCCTCGAAAACGTTACATTAACTAAACCAGAATGGAATTTTGAAGATTCTTGTTCTTATTTATCATTCCCTTAATCACAAAGAAATGATGCAAATGCAATCTGTGTATCTGGGAACATCTGTACCTCATGCAGCTTTATATGGAAACTGTACTCATGAAATGTTGCCATGAGTATTAAAACTATGCCTAAAAAAGGTATTAAGCCTATCACCAAAGATTTTTTTTTTTTTTTTTAATAGAACAACTTCTCAGATAGGCAATTTAGTTATATTGTTATAAAGCCAATGGCTGCCATAAGGCTATGCATATAGCATCCATAATGGCCTCCATATATTCTTAAAAGAATTTAAGAATTTTTTTGCATATAAGAAATTTTCCTCTAAAACATACAAATCCACAGATACCTACTCTGGTACTGAAATTTTATGTAATATTATTTGTATTAATATTAAACAGTTCTTTATTTCCTGGTACTGAATATATCTGTAATATGCCAAATCACAATGGTTCACTTAAGCTACTACAGAAACTCAGGCAAAAGACACAGATTTTTATTCTCATCCCTCCTACTAATCATAAGACAAAACAGTCTCATGTGAAAGGCTACTTCTCTCCAAAATGTACACATCATGATGTCAAATCAATTACGGGAAAGTAAACCGTGCACAATGAAGAATTTTGATCTTCACTGGAAGTTCAGTGTTTAACCCCACATTAAGAGCAAGAAGTCCCAGAATGTCAACTCAACCACAATTAACACTGACTCATTACCTGGACCTGAGTGTATCATTCAATTTCCTAATGTTTTTAGCTTCTCACCCTTTTAAGTACAAGGAATTTAGAGTGCATGGTATTTTGCATCCCATTTGAGCTATGCTCAGAAGCACTATAATCTGCATGTCACTAATGGCACATGCAGCTGGTTACAGCTATAAATAGTACAGAGTGCATTTACATTCCCAATGCTATGTTACGTTTTTCCACTGCTATCTCAAAACTTTGCAGCCTCAAAATTTTTGCATTCTTACTTCGCATTTTTTATCATACTTTTCAATGTCATACTTTGCAATGTAGTATTATCTATAACGGTCTGAAATCAATCTGGAAAACAGAAATGCCACATGAACTCAGGAATGATTAAAGAAATCTGTTGTCCTACATACCAAATGTTTGTCCCTAACGTTCTCTAGAGACACCTACTGGAACCACCTCACTGCTTACACTGAACCTTAACTTCAAGGTCACCATAATGGCAGTACAGAATGGTTTTCAAAGACCACAAAAATACGACATGCCCCCTGCGTGCATAATTACTCTTAATTCCATATTGCAAAAAGCAGTAACATTTTCCTCTTAGTATTTCTATTTTGAAAGATTAAAATTAAAACAACATATACATTTACCAAATATTTCTGAATACTGAATTAATCAGATAGAAATTAAGTTCTGAAACTAGTGTGCCATTTCATTTTTCTCCTACATAGAGAACAAAATGCAAACAAGTAGCCAGCAGAAATATACTTTTAAGTCTGAAAGCACTTTGGAGTAAGTCATCTTAATATCACTTGCTGTAAAATACCTGTCTCTCTCATCGAGCAGAGGAAATAACTTTTTATGTAATTCTTAAGATGATTAGAGCATAAGACAAAAACAGACTGATAAAATGGTATATGAATGACAGAGAGTCAAAGATAGAAACGTGCTGTGTTATCTATACACGTTGAAGCAGACAGACTTCAAAAAGAACATATTAAGCACCTTAGGGAAATACATCTCTACAAAATAAAACTTTAATAATAATTTTGTTTGCAGAAAAAGGAACTGAGCTGACAATTAAAGTTCACCTTCATGACTTATAGCCTGATACACAAACTGAAAACTGAACCAACTTTCTAAAGCCAAATTAGATGTTTTTGTACTTTTAAATTATTTAAATTATAAACAAAATGCTTCATGTGAACAAAGTTGTGTTCAATATATCACGCGTAAAAATAACATCTTACCTCCCCAACTTCCTTCTGAAAAGTCAATGTCATCTGTGTCCTGCCATAAAAAAAAGGTCCATCTCTATTGGAAACATTTTCAAGCCATTTGATGATCAGAGGAGTTGAAACACTGAAGGGTAGATTTCCAACGATATGTATGTTTGGTGGTTCTGTTAAAATTTGGTGGCCAAAACAAAAAAATAGTCAAAAGTTCTGAATAACACTCTGGTATGAAAGAGCCTATAAAGAAAATACATGCATATCAATCTTGACTTAAAATATGAAAACAATTTTTACTATGCCACACCAAAACTATGTATTTCAATTTATACCTGTCTTACAGTCTTCTTACCAAGAACGCTGATTAAACTGCATTATTGTTCAAAATAATCAGCTGGACAAAAAGGATTTAGCCTTAGATTTCAGTTATATTAGAATGAATCCACAGATTTCAGCTGAGTTACTCCAGAACAGCAGAAATAACATATTTTAGCATTTCTGTCATTTTACACTATGATTGTTAGGTACAGAATAAATATCCAAATTTATCATTCTATTCAACAGTTTTACCTCAGGTACATTTTACTAACTGTTCATAACCCCCAAATAATTGGTCCAACTGGATACAGGTTTGCCTGTGCACAAGAATCCTCTGAAAACAAAAAACCTAATAGTAACCACAAAAAGTCTAATAATAACTGCCTGTTAATCAACAAATATTATATTGCTCAATTATATTGCTCAACAAATATAAATTGCTCAATAAGTGAGCATTTCATTAGTGGGGATCCTGATCACTAATCAGAGGTGCAATAAAATGGGACAGATAAAAAATCTTGCTTTTTACATACAACAGTGGCTAATAATACAAATGATAAATTGTACCAATTTCAAGTTGCTTTTCTGTCAGACCTTACTTTATGTATACTTGCTAGGCTATCTCTGATACTTCTATGATATTTGTGATTGTTCACAAGTATCAGACAAAAAAGTATCTTCCTGAAATGTACCAGCCTTTCATGTTTTCACATGGCAAAAATACAGCTAAAGTCAGGGCTATTTATTTTTTTTAAATGCACTTCATCTTCAAATACATGTTTGTTTGTAGCTCTATTTTGGGAAGTGCTTACCAATACAATGAGGTAAATACACAAAGAGGTGAAGATAATATAGCATTATCTTTTATTCCTAAATCAGAAGGCAGCTTATTCTTCTTCTGGCACTACAAAGACTGGCTCCAACTCGAGTTAAGAAATTCGGCAAAGGGGCCTTGGAGGGGATTTCTCATGTATATAACACAGTTACATCTCCAAAAGGGATACAAAAGCAAGTTCTAAGAGAACCCCCAGGTTTGGAAAAAAAGCCTCTGATTATATTCTGTATATGTCAAAGACAGCCTGTTGAAGCCAAAGCAATAAAAAAACAGTATTTTTTCCTTTAAGTTTTAAAGATATTTACAGCAGTTTCTTCAGCAGAAAAACAACACAGGTGGCCTTGGGCTTACTCCAAAAGAGGAAGAAGCTGGCAAAAAAGGTAAACTGTTTATGTTTTCCATGAGTCATTATTATACAGTGAGGACACTCTAATGCAAAAACAACTGCAAAACTCTTCCGTAATTTGGACTAAGATGAATGTGACACAAACAAATTTGGACTAAGACGAATGTGACCCTGCGTGTGCAGGGGGGTTGGACTCGATGACCTCTGAGGTCCCTTCCAACCTTGGGCATTCTATGATTCTATGAAACTCCATATTTTTGGCTTAGAAGATGATTATCTAATTGTTCGCTTCTAGTACACAAGAACAGAAAAAAAGATTAGCTGCCTTCTCGCTTATCTTCCAAATGTGCTAGCAAGGGAGTAACAGCTGCACTGACAGAATGAATTACAGCTAATATTGACAAACTTAAAATCTTAACAGAAACCTTAAAAATGAAACAATAAATAAACCACAATGAAATACTAACCATCCTCCCACTTCTTTTTTAAGTACTTTGGAAAAGCTTTCTCCATCTTATAGGTAAGAATATCTCCATGAACAATACGCACTTTTCCTGGAGCTGCTTCAGAGAGCATCTGCAGACAAGCAAGCAGAAAGAGGTGTAGTTCATATTAGGTATCCAACACATCCATTTACAGTTTTAGCAACAGCAAAAATGAAACCATATGCTGTATATTTATAATTATCTAGCATATTAAAAAGCACAAAAGCAGTTAAAACTGTGTGTACTATTGGTATTTACCTTTAAAAAGTGAATAGCAATCATCAACAATTTAAAGATGCAATTTTGTAAAGGATTCTATTTATAGATATAGAATCTCTTTTTTTAATCTTCAACGAGTTAAATTCTGTGTAGTAAGTACAAAAAACAACTTAATTAAAACCTAGGTCAAGAGTGTCTGGGGCTTTTTATCATCACACTCAACATAAACAAGAACTGCATTTAATATGTCAGAATAAAACAGCAGAAAAAAACAGTAGTGTATACTGCTTACTTGAGCCAAAGATTGTGAAACCCAACTGAAACTTTCTCAATTTTGAGACAAATGTGTAGAGCTAACAGTTTCAGGACTGTATATAAGCAAAAGGATCAAGTGATTTTCCATTATGCACATGCTTATGCTCTTCAGAGGCACCTGAATTTTCTCCAATCCCCAATGAGATTGTAAAATAAAAAGCAATAAATACAAATTCGCTAACACTCAGAAAAGTTAAAAAGCAAAGAAAAAAAGGGCATAAACAGCATACTGTAAGTGAGGAACAGCTAACCCTATGACTATTTACACATATATTCATTTTTAAGGATATAAGATTCTTTAACATCTTACATTGTTACAGTTATGCAATAAGATAGCAGCAGCTATATGGCTGCCACCTTTTATAGTAGAATAAGGCTACCATGTACATGGCAGAAATGGCTATCCACTGCCGATTCACTAGAGAATACACAGTGGATTCATCTGTAATGTAAGGAAAGCCCTTTGAATTGCTATGAACTGAACCTGCAGGGCCCTATGGGACCATCAAACCTAAACAGATTCTTCAGTCTTTTCTTGTTGATAGATGTGTTTGGCCAAGTTACATAAAATGTAACAGTTTAATAACAATATAAGTGGACAGTATTTGCAAAACGGCATAGTAAGTTATGAACTTACACTGATTTTAACAGAAAAGAATGGAAGTTTAAGAGTGCTTTTGGAAAATGTGAAGGAAATACTTATTCTTTTCTGATCTATGGGGATATTAAGCCTAATGGAGCTGTATTAACTGGAAATATACACATACATGCAAAATGCTACACAATAAAGGAAGAGTCATTAGGATTAGACTGAAAAAGCAAGACCAAATGACATCAAAGAATGTCAACTGCTATTTCATTTGCACATTTCAACCTGCAATCTAATAAATTTAAACCTCTGTTTTATTTGTTTTCTATATGAGCTGTAATTGATCAGTTTTTCCAACTAATGGGTAAAGCATTCAAACAAACATAATCAGATAGATTATTATGCTCCTTCCAGTCAAAGCTAAGCAAAATATCTGAGCTTCAGGAAGAAACGTAAAAAATATTAGCACTGTAAAGCTATTTTAAAATGTTCAGGTTTGGACTTTCCAAATCTTTAAATGTTTTCAAGCTTTCTTCTTCCATTTCGTATAGAAACTGATGCAAATGACTCTCTGGCTGATACCTGCAATCCTGGAATAAATCGAGCATCTTTTTCAACTAAAAGGAGTTGTGCAACATCAGTATTGAGGATAGACCTGGTAATCCCTCCTGGCCCAGGGCCCACTTCACACACATGGGCATTTGTCAGCTCGCCAGCTTGTCTCACTATCTTATCTGTAAGACACAAAAAAACATACTAAGCCTAAATTTTCCAAAGGATTCAGCTCACTAAGATCAACTCATTGTTTATTGTTGAAATGCAAGTGTGCTTATCTCAACACAGACACAAACAATGACACATTCCAGTTAAAAGACGCTAGGCTGCACAGAATTCAGATTTGTGCTCAGCTGGTTAAAAGGAATATTCTTAGTATAAAGTCTTTAACATGCAATGCCCCTTATTACAAAATTACAGAGCATTATTTTTCATCTGTAAACCAGCAACATTATTCTGAAGGAGAACATACTGGTATTCATTATCCCAATGTCTCACTCCTTTAAAGTTATTTCACTATTGAAACCCATGTTAAGGAAAATGAAGAAGAAAAAAGGATGCAGGAAAAAGGAAACACTAACAATATTACAACACGCAGAGATCAATTTTACCGAGGAAGAGCTAGAGGAAAGGTAAGAGTTGGAATCAAGACAATTGGTAATTACAGAAACTGGAGCAGTTAAAAGATGATAAGGAATATCTGCACAAA